AGTCCAATGCAGCGGCCAAATCTCCAAACCGAATCAGGAGACCCTTTAATCTCTCCAAATCAATTCGGAGAGATTAGGAAAGAGTCGATGATTCAGACACCGCTTTAAATGCTTTTTCTACATACCTAAAGGTACCAGGTGGCTCATGAACTATGAGATGGTGGGGCAGATGGAGCGTCCCACGGGAGTGCGAGAGGGTGTCCCCAGAGTGCTCGGTAGTGGGCCTGGAAGTGGACCAGAAGCACTTCCAGTCCACTGGGGAGAGCACAGGGGGACCTACCCCTTCCCACCCCCCCCCACTTGGCGACTAGTGCCTTCTGGGTCTGGGAGGGCACCAGGGGTCCCCCCACGGCTGATCACCAAGCTGAGGGGGCTGCAGGGGGCCCCCCTGTGCCGCTGAGCATGTGGGGGACCCCCAAACGCTCCTGTGGGACACTCCTTCCACCCCACCATCGCAGCATTCACAAGCTGTGCCTGGTACCTCGAGGTGTGTAGAAAAAACTTTTAAAGCTGTATCTATGTCCAAATCACTGGTTCTCTGAATCAGCATCGAATCTTCAGATTCGGCCGAATCAAATTGAGACACTGATCTGAATCAGCAAATCGGGACGAATCCAAATCGAATACAGCCCACTCCGCACACCTCTACCAAACATGCTCTCATTTAAACACCACTCCATATCAAAATCACCTTTCGTGCTTTAATAATCGTTATGGGTGTATATACATTCTCATTCCACCTGTTCTAGAAGATCTGATTTTGAAGCCAAAATATCTAGCTCAGGTTTGCAGTCTGTCTGATTTTTGTGCAGCTTTATGAGAAACACTATTTCACTTCAGCCATGCTTCAACATGGCTTGTTGGCTTTATGAAAGTAAGTGATGTTGAAAAGCATGCTTCCTCATTCTAGGGCACAGTACCAATCTAGACTGTCCTACATCCTTGCTTTAAAGGTCATTTGGCAAGGTGCTGCCGTAGAAAACAGTTGCATATGACAGGGTTATAACTTATGGATGGAGAAATCTCATTGCTACTCAGCTCACCTGCTGGGATTTTAATGATCTTAACCTGCAACAAAAAGAGCAAGAAAACCTCAAAAATTCTGCCAAGCCCTAGATTTGAAGATTGGTACGCTGGATTTATACTCACTTTCTTTGTTGTTGGCCTGAAACATGTAGTGCATATCTAGTGCAGGCCCACCACAAAGGAAACCAAAACTGCCAGTGCACAATTATCAACGGAAATATGCATCCCTCCTTGTAAGCGTATTACGGTACACTACATTAGGAATACAATGGAAGGGTATTATAGGAACACTAGCCAATTGCCTGTCATGAATGATGGAGCATTTCAGGGAGATCCTACACGCCCCCCACCACTCACCCTTTGGGGATGGCCATGTACACCAGGGGTGGGCAATTATTTTGGGCGGAGGGCCACTTACCAAGTTTTGGCAAGCTGTCAAAGGCCGCCTGGGTAGCCCCATCCCCTGGTCTCCATCTTGGGACCAGACATCCCGCTCCCTAACCCCTGACCTCTGCCACCAGAAGTCTTTCCCCTTGCCCCTGGAAGTACTCCTTTCAGCAAGGGGTTGTGCCATCTTGGAATCAGCAAAATACCAAACTATATTCTAAAAAGGAAACACCTACAGCATTCATTAATCTGATTTTAAAAAAATATTGTTGTCCCGATTGACATGTGTTTGTGCAGTGTACATAGAAGTGATTGAACAATAGCTTAAAACGAAGTTTTACACCTGTATATTGTGGGGGGTGGGTATAGGTTGGTGGGGGGCTGTGGGGGGCTGTGGGTATGTGGGGTGAGGGAGCATGTGGGTATGTGTGGATATGTGGGGTGTAGGTGGGTATGGGGTTTGTGGGGGATTGTGTGGGGGGGAAGGTGCCTGGGCTGTGTGGGGGAGTGTGCACGTGGGGATCTGTGTGTATGACAGTGCGAGAGGCGTGTGGGTGCATGTGTATGGTAGGGAGTGCATGTGAGACTCATCCAATGAATGCACGTACCCCCATGCACTCTGCTCCAGCTGCACACACACACACACACACACCCTGGAGGGATGTGGAGTCCCCCAGGGCTTGGTCCTGGGGCCTGTACTGTTTAACGTCTTTATCAGTGATCTGGATGTGGGCGTGGAAAGTACGCTGTCCAAATTCGCTGACGACACCAAGATGTGGGGCAAGGTGGGCACACTGGAGGGGAGGGACAGAATCCAGCTAGATCTAGACAGGTTACAGAGGTGGGTGGATAAGAATACGATGGAATTCAATGCCGACAAGTGCACGGTGCTGCATCTAGGGAGAAGGAATCAGCAACACACCTATAGGCTGGGGAACACCCTTCTTGTTAACACAGTGGCAGAAAGGGATCTTGGAGTCACTGTTGACTCCAGGATGAACATGAGCCGCCAATGCAAGGAAGCGGTCAGTAAGGTTAACCACACCTTGTCATGCATCTACAGATGCATCACAAACAGGTTCAGGGAGGTGATCCTTCCCTGCTATGCAGCGTTAGTCAGGCCACAGTTGAAGTACTGCGTCCAGTTCTGGGCGTAGCACTTCAAGAGGGATGTGGCTAGCACTAAGAAGGTCCAGAGGAGGGCCACTCGCATGGTTAAGGGGCAGCGGGTCAGGCCCTACGAAGAGAGGCTAAAGGGCCTGAATCTATTCAGCCTCCACAAAAGAAGGCTGAGAGGGGATCTGGTGACTGTTTACAAACTCACCAGGGGGGACCAGCGCTAATTGGGGGAGACTCTGTTCCCCTGGGCACCACCATGGGTTACTAGGAATAACGGCTACAAATTGTTAGGGAGAAGGTTCAGGCTGGACATCAGAAGACATTACTTTCCAGTTAGGGCTGCCAGGCTCTGGAGTGGACTCCCAAGGGAAGTGGTACTGTCTCCTACTTTGGGGGTCTTCAAGAGGAGGCTGGACCTATATTTGGCTGGGGTGTTATGACCCTGCACTCACTCCTTCCCGGGGCAGGGGGTCAGACTTGATGATCTGTTTAGGTCCCTTCCGACCCTAAGCACTAGGAAACTATTAAACCTACCTCCACCCACTCTGACCATGGCTGCACAACCCACACCCACCCACCCACCCACCCACCGTTCCCCTGGCTGCACACCCACCCCTGATGGGCCCCCAGTGGTACAGACAGACAGAAGTACTAAGCCTTTTATTATATTAGAATGATAACATCCTGTCCCTGAAACACTGGAAGCACCAATGACACAATACACACAATAGCATAGAAAGGGTTAAAACACTTCTAAACATACCTTATATTTTGGAGTACAAGGCAGCACCTTACGTGTGTAATCCTTCTTCCCATTCCCTAGATAGCAGAGCATGCTGCCTCAGCAGGCTAACTGGACATTACTGCTAATAGAGCTTCTAGCACCAGACATCAGAACTACTAGTAGCACCTATACACATGCTCCAACACGTTCTGATTAAAACGCGCTGGAGTAGACCCGATTAATCAAATCTGCTGCAGCGCCTCATGTATTCAGCATCCCTGCACTTCAATATGTCACCGGGGCACTTTAATTAAAGCTTGTCGAGTGAGCTTTAGTTAAAGTGCTCCCACTGCCATTTTGAAATACAGGAAGCTGAACACACAAGACACTGTGGGCATTTTAATTAGAGTGGTGCCCTCTAATTAAAACACCCCTACCCAGACTATTAGCATGTAATGCTATTAGTGCTTTAAGAGTGAAGGGCATGTGAAAGGAAGGAAAAGAAAGAGGATGAGAAAGAATTTATCTTGCCATCTCCAAGCTACCAGTTTGGCCTCCTCCAGAAAAGCAAGTCCAGTGTCAGGGTTGAGTAAGAATCACCCAACCAAAAGGAAGGAAACAACTGCGGAGTTAGTATACTATTTACAATGGTTGGGGAGGAAGGGTGGGGTTGCTCTGAGAAATGCAACCTAAGCTCTGTAAATCCAAAGTGAAAACAATTAAACCAAAAACTATTTACTGGTGATCACAAGTCAAGAGGAAAGCAGACTTTGATCAAATCTTAAGACAAAAAATCCTAACTATAAGAACAGCAGGACTGTGGAACAAACTGCTTCGGGAACCTGAGAAATCTCCTACACAGGAGGTTTTCGAGAATAGACTGTGCAGGCATCTATCCAGGACGGTTTAGAAATAGCAAGTCTCCATCTGTGCAGGGGGTTGGAAGAGAGGCCCTTGAGGTCCCTTCCAACCCTATGAAACATCACAAGTTCATATAGAAAACGTAAAAAGTGTAGTAGTAGTATATCTGTCAACCAGCCCTACACTACAAACAGAGAAGGCAACACTGCTGGAAGACGAGATCATTTAACAAGACCACCTAGTAAGAAAGCTCTCAATTTTCTCACAGAATAATGACCCAGTGTTAAAAGCACAGCAGCCCCAGCTCCCCTTGGCACTGTGTGGAGCTGCAGGTGTTCAGCTCACTTAAAGAAAAATAGGCCACAATTGCCAAAGGACTTGACCCAGTGCCCACTTTCTATTGACTTTATTCAGCCTGGGAACAGGCCCTTGGTGGTGCCTTTTCTACGGATCTGTTCATTCTGAGGTTCAACTCGGAGATTGGATGTTTTCTTCCTATAGACATAACTAAAACATCTTGCTAATCTTCTTTGTACAAATGCAGTTTGCTCCAAAGAGCATGTTTTTACCAGTTCTCCTCCTGCTCAGGATATTTGCTGAAAAATAGGTTAATGCAGATGACATTATGCAGCACTTAACTGATTACTAGGCCTGCTTTGGGGCACATATTAATAGGACCAGAGTACTGTGCATGTGCTCTCTCTCTCGCTTATAGGTTTCCAGAAGAAGGAAAGCATCTTTCAATCTCAAGCCTCCTGTATGATTTCAAATCTAGGAACATAACCCACAGTCTGACTAGAAAATAAAAGAACAAAGGGGTGGATCATTGTAAAGGTGAGCGAGGCAGAAAAGAAAGCACATATAAAATGAAGCCAAGTTTTACCATTGCACTGAGGGTCTCTTCCCAATCTGGTCTCTCACGGGGATGAATGCTCCTCTGAAGCTCTGGCACAAAGTCATCTTCTTCTGCGTGTACAGAGGACTTCATCATTCTAGGGAGAAGAAAGAGACACGTTTGTCACTGGATTACCATTTCAAGTAAGTCTTAGGGATACCTACCCTTGGGGTTTTATTCTAAGACATGTTCAAAATACAAATGCATTTAGATACTTGGAGACTCAAGAGAAGATGACAAAATTACCTTCTTCCCAAAACTTAACCGAAACTCAAGAACATAAATCTTAGTAGAACAATTCGCATTCCCTACCTGATTTTAATTACTGGTTTATTTCACTTTAAGCCTCCACGGTAATCATGGAGCCTTTGAAAGTGGTAAAAAAAAAAAAAAAAAAAAGTGAACGTGCTTATATGAAAACTTAATAGCTGTCCCCGTTGGCTGACTCAGACTTTCCATGGTCAGTCTGGGCTTCCCTGCAACACAGTGTAAGGATTGCAAAGGGGGTGTATTCTGCTCCCTGCTGGGGCAGCAAAATCCAGCCAGCAGCATGCTGTGGCCTGGGTGGGAGGGAGGGAAGGGCTGATGCTGGAGGCCTACGTTCTCTTCCGAGAGAAGCCACAGCATGTCCAGATATTCACTCTCCCAGAAGAAACTCTCTTGGGAGAAATTTAACCCTGATTGTCCCCAAGTTATTTTTTTCCTGAAGCTAACATTTTTACTCTCAGGGAAAAAAGCCTAAACATCTGTACACCTGTTGTTTCTCCTAAGAGAAACTGAACGTCTGTATGAAGCTAATGTTCAATCCCTATTCGCTGTCCCATTTTTTACCTTAAATGCCCAAGAAAAAAAGAAAGGAAGAGAAAGGCATGGGAGGTAGGGGTGAGGTGTTAAGAAAGTGGCCCATGTAACTTGCTAGGACTAGACACCCCTGGCCCACTGTCAGAGCCAATAGCTCTTTTCTTCCCCGTGCTCTGTGTGGTATCAGTGCTCTTCGCTCTCACTGACTTCACTATGATTTGGCATGAGTTCAGCACCTAGTGCTATCAGGGCAAAAATATCCTCAGATAAGGATATTTTTCAAATACAGTAAAAGCTCTGTTATCCGGCATTCCCCAGGAATGGGGGATGCCGGTTAATCAAATATTCTGGTTAATCAAATGTGCACCGCCTGCTGCACTGCCCGGCATCAGTGTACCGGGGGACAGGGAGGGGGTCCTACACAGGCTGCTTTGCCCTGGGCTGTGGGCTGAAGAAGTGACAAAGAAAAACTCTGCTCACAGTGGTGAAACTTGGAAGTGGTACTTCCAATTTCGTTTTTGCCACATCCCTCGGATGCCGGTTAATAGAGTTTTCCAGCTAATAAAGTGCTGGTTAACACAGCTTTTGCTGCACCTTGCCCTGTGTATTTTTAAGACTGCACAAAGATTCAGGTATTTGGGTCTCAAACTTTTTTTTAAACATTATTTACAAGAGGCATTATTTACAATTCACCCTAAAGGCATCACTATTGTTATCACTGGAAAGCTATGAAATACCACTTCCACAGGCCATAAAAACATGCCTTGGCAAAGAGACTGAGGCACAGATTTAAAGTGCCAAATCCTGCTGAGTATCTAGAACAATCCACCTGATTTCATTAACATGCACAATTCAAAGCAGGTTTTTATTAATAGGCTGACATATTTATTTATTTAGACAAACCATTTGATTAATCAGCACTGCATACACATGAACCCAAAGGAAGGCTGGCTGAACCAAATGTTAGCCGTGCTGATTAATCATATGGTTTGACTAAAGAAATAAATATTGAAAGCCTTTTAAATAACACTGCTGAGCACTCTGCATTTCTTTAAAACACAAGTTGCCACAGAACAAATGTTAACCAAGAAATGCTATTTTCTAACCATTTTTTATCTGTATTGACAACCAACACTACTTATTAGTATTTGATCATAAAAACCTGAGCTATAAAGGTCTTATAAGAATCCCCACAGTTTATGAAATATTTCAGTTTATTCAGCAATAAGCTTGCAGTGCAGATCAACTGAACAAATACTGCAAATAATTACAACTTTTTAGAGGGCATCATTAGGAAGTAAAATATATTAAATCAATAGGCTGATGTGCAAAAACTGAAATGATTGTATAGTAGCTATAACCTTGATAACGTGCAATCTATTTCTTGTTTCATTTAAAAATAAGCCTACCGCACCGTAGTTTTACTTCAGTGCGTAGGACATCCACCCCTGTCCTTCAACTCTGCACTACGCAAAGAGGGTGTAGATCATCACCATTTGAACTGAAAACTTCTTGCACAGTTGAAAATTGCCAGATAATGGAGCCCAAGGGATATGAAAAACAAAGATGTGACAGAGTAACTCATCTATGAGGTTCAAATATGTGTAAAACAAAATATTTATTTTACAAAACAGTAAAATTAGATAGACTGGAGACCAACTTGGCTTCTTGAACACAAGAAATGTGTGCAGTTTACTTATAGAGGTGCATCAAACTAAGAGGCTAGCATTGGCTCCATTAGCCTAGGAAACACAGAATAACAAATCAGTCATTTACCCCTCAACTCCACACCTGGCATCAGTAATGGACATCACAGTTTGGCTTTCTCCTTCAGAGTTGGCCAATTCCTCTACCACACTAGAGTTGCAGCACTGATAAGCAATAAGTCAATAGTTGAACTGTGCAACTAATCTTTGGAGAATAATTGCCACAATTATCTACGGGATCTTATCTTCTCTCCTCCTCATACCACCAGCCCCAATTTTATAAGGAGAAAAAAAAAATCCCTTGCTTTATAAGCAAGGCAACATAAAAAGGTATTCTGGAGGGCAAACCATCCCAGGAGCTGCCTAACCACCACACTCAAGAAGACCCACAAATTGTTTCATGACCTTAACTGTCAGAAGCAGAGCCAGGGAAGAATCCAAAGAGACAGAAACACTGGCCTTAAATCAGATCCACCGAATGAGCAAGATCCAAAACTTGTACATGCAGTTTGCAGTTGGGGCACAGAATGTCATTCTCCTTCCTTGTACAAATCAGACTGTACAAATGAGGAAGGCCACGATGCTGACCTTCAAGCTGTAGACTAGGTGTGGGCTTACACAAGACATAAGCATACAAATAATGTTCCCAGTAACAGGATGACTGTTTTCCAGTCAGATTTGACATCATTTTTACCTAAGCCTCACAATCATATTTTCTTTAATTAGCCAGTGCTTCAGAAAATCTATCCGTCTCTTAGCCCTTAACATCTAAGTCACATTGCCCTACACTATCTTTGTAAAGTGTTTTTATCCCAACTGCATGACACAAACAACAAAAATTAAAACCAGACCACCCATAAGTATGCAAGACAAATGCTCACCAAGTGTAAGCCCGCACCTAGTCTACAGCTTGAAGGTCAGCATCGTGGCCTTCCTCATTTGTACAGTCTGATTCAGAAGGCAAGAGTAATATGCCATATGAGATGGGTGACTGTACTTCTATACCGCAAATACGGTTAAAAAAAACCAAACACATCATTTTAAACTTGAAAATTGGGTGTGCCATTACAGTGTTCCCATCTCATGCAATTTTAATCATAAATCTCAAGACTTGGTGTTTTTTGAATAGCCCAAGCTCCTGGAATGCTGTGCTGCTCTGTGAGAACCTCGGCCTTCCGCCGAAAGCAAAAGTACATTTCTAGCTTTATGGTTGTGGAGAAAAGGCTTAAAAAGCCATGGCCCCAAGCTCAAAACAAAAATCAAGAAAGGAACTAAAAGAACTCAAAATTATATGTTATTAAATTTCATCTTGCTTTTTCCTAAGCTGATCCCACGATGTTGGGGGGCTTGGCTCATAATTTTTGAATGCTGGGGTTTGGCAATGCTGCAATTGCTCAGGGAATACTTAAAATGGTCTCTCCACAACAGCATTAGAGTATCATTGCTATGCAGCAAGAAAGGGAGGACGGACGCAAGCTCCAGAATGAACTTTCTACCCAGCACCAACATATCAAATACATGTTTCGCTTAGATTAAAGCTCTCAAAGCAATAAAGCCATTATGTATGAATTTAGGATCGATTCAGATTACAAACAGGTTTACTGCACTGCTCCTCAGCCTTCATAAAGATTCCTCTTCGATTCTTTATCAGACACCTACCCCTGGTTTCTTAACAGTATTCTGCAGCCAAAAAAATTTTATTTCCTTCTGACGGGTACGTTTTTTACATTTCTGAAATTCTACCTGCAACGTAATAACAATGTCAGTTTTCTTCTGCTCAAGAGTTTACGGGCAACCAGTAAATGACATTCTGATCTTGAAAATTCACAAGATTTGATAAATCTCTTGAAGGAACTGAATTAGGTATAAAAATGCACAGGTATAGAAATGCACAGGAACTGAATTAGGTATAAAACCCCCTAACAGTTGACATCAGGGGTGTCTTGCAGGGTGCTGCAAGACCCTTTCAGGGGTGTCTAAGCAGGCAAGAGTACCCGTCCTACCGCAGACTTCCTGGTTTGGCTTTGCATGGTATCACCCAGAAACAGTAGGTGTGCAAAAGAGGTGGCCTTGCACTGCATGCCTCTGTTTCCAGGAAGAGCTCATGGGGGGACCAGACCAGGCAGCTCTGCAGTAAGAACGGGTGCAGGATCCTGCCTGCTCCTGCTGCAGCCGCTTCCTGATCTGGTTGCACACAAGATCCATAGGGCAATCTACCTGGCTGCCATCACATCAACTTCACCCCAACTAAGAACCACTCATTTAAAGATGAGGCAGCCCAACAGTGGTTCTCAGCCGGAGAGTTGCCAAATTAAAAAATGGAGGGACACCTTGAATCTACAAAGTTTGAGAACTACTGATGTAGGAAACCACATTCCTACTGGAGTAATGCTATGCATCTCATGTCACTTGAGAGCTGGCAGGAGGCCCAGGTCTCTGGCTTCTTGAGCTAAGTAACCAAAAATACAGTCCTGACAAAAAGATGAAGTTTAACATGTGTTAATTTAATTTACACTAAATGCATACAGAAACCATAAAATGGGAAGTGGATTTACAGACGACTGTGATTATAAAACAGACACATGCAGCA